CCATGCCTGCTCCCCGGGGCGCAGCTCGGCTCTCGTCCCTCTGTGTCCCAGCTCAGGATGCTCCGTGCTCCCCCGTGTAAACCCCCCGTGTCACCGGCGGCTTTGCGCTCGGAGAGGACGTGGACATGCGTGAATGCTCCTGAGATTTTAGTTCCTAGGTATATGCAATAAATAACTTGCCACTTCAGCTGTTCGTTACCAGCAGTAGTTCTCTATGCTCTTTCTGTTGATGTTTACTAATGTAAACCCAGTATTTGTTACTGTAAGAGGATTTTTTTTGTACGGTACTTCAAAAAACCCCACAAAAAAACAAAAAAAAGAAAGAAATAAACAGAATTAATGAAACGGCTGCAGAGATGTCAGCGGAAGGGTGTTGTGCCGGGGGAGCAGAGGCGGGAGGGCTGGGCTGGGTGCAGGATGTGACCCATCGCCCGGCTGGTGCTGGGCTGTGCCAGGGCTCGGCTCCCCGGGGTCGTGCAGGGCTGGGTCGCGCGGGGGCCAGCCCCGGGCTCGCCGGCCGGGCGAGGAGGCAGCAGCGGAGCCCGGAGGGGCGAGAAACAGCCGGAAGCGGCGGCTCCAAAGAGCAGGGGAAGCGCGAGGTTCCTCCGCGCTGGGCCCCGGCAGCGAGCCCAGGGGACGGTTCTGGGCAGCACCCTCTGCCCGCACCCGCAGCTGCCAGCCCGGGGGTGCTTCAGCACCTGCACCCAGCCCAGGGGGGCTCGGCAGACCGCGGCGGGGGTCCGACACAGAGCCACCCCTCTGCTTGTTTGGGAGACGCCGAGCGTAGGCTGCTCGGGGTTGGGTTTCTGTTTCCAACCCGTCGCAACCTGCGGGGAAGCGGCAGCCGCCGGCAGGGCTGGGACCAGGGGCTGCGACCCCCAAAGCCCCGATTCGGGGCCGCGGCCCCCGGCGGGACAGTGGGGACAGGGTGACCAGAGCCGGACGGCCCCGCGTGAGTCAGCAGCATCGGCGTCACAGGAGGAGGCCGGTTGAGCCGGGCAGGAAGGGCGCACGGAGGCGGGCGCAGCCAAGCTTTAAAAGTCCTCGCGGGGACGGGTTCGCCTCCGCGCCACCCCACCGTCCCCATGGCCCCCGCGGTGCTGCTGGCTCTCCTGGTGCTGGTGGCCCTGCTGGCCCCGGGGCTCGGGGTGGCCTTCCCCGGCTGCGACTACCCGGCCCACCTCTGGTGCAGCTCAAAGGAGATCGCCATCGCCTGCCAGGTCAGAGCCGCCGGTGCCAGGGCTGCCCTGGCCGCC